TAAATCTGGGACTGTGCAGTGGACTACAGAATCTGCATTTTTGCCAGCTGTCAATGCAGTTGTATACTGTGATATTTGAGACACAGCTTTAAAGTTGGTTGATACTATACTAAGCTGAGAAGTGACCTGTAAAGTTTTAAAATATAAAGCAAGAGATTGGGGTTCAAGTTACAATAAGGATAAACAAATGTACCCATAGACATAAAATCACCCTTAAAAGCTAATAGCATCAACATTCTAAATACATTCTTCCAAACCTGTGTTTCTGCACATTTATATTTTTAATTTATAACACAGGGTGAACACCCACTTCTATTCCATTGTAATTGACTTCATGAACCTTCTATAGCTTCACAAAGACACTCATTCTTGCTTGTGTGAGAATGGGGAACAATGCCCAGAGGAGACAGCATCCGCTCAGGATCTATGCCTTTAATAAGCAAAGGGAATATTGCTGTAGGAAGGCTGGCTGATGCGATAGAATTAGGAGCATATGTTACTTGGGACAGAGACAGGTATGCTCTGATTGGCAGATCTCTGGAAATGAACACCATTGCAGGTATCTTCTAAACAGCCAAGTGCACTGCATTCTGACATCAAGGCACAGCAAGTGGTTGTCAAGACACTGAGCCACGTTGAGGGTTGCCAGTTTCGGTCTACCTGCTTTCCCAGCAGTTTTGCCTCTTGCTTGCATTACTGGGATGCTGAAAAAGACGAGTAGCAAGGGCTGGCATGGTATGTGTCTCTAATTTCTACCTTCTCTTGGCTTTCAAAGCTGCTGCATTTAAAAGGTTCCATAGTGTTTGCTTTTTATGGTTGAAGGGTTTTGGGTAGAGTTGCCGGATTTAGCAAACAAAAAATGACAGGCTTCCAAGTTAAAACTTGAATCTCAGATCAACAGTGAATAAATTTGGAGTGTCTAAGTGTATGTTGTATAATACTTAGGACATACTTAACAGTCGTGAGCTGTTGCTTTCATGAAATTTGGGTTCAGCTGGGCGTCCTGTGTTGAATCTGGCAATCCTATTCGAATGGTTTCCTGTTTCAGAGGGAAACTTTGATACAGAACCTGAATTTCTTAATTAGAAGGGAAAATGCTTTGGTTAATCTTGGAGCCCTGTGGATTCTCATGAACAGCTTGTTTCATAAGTGTTTCAACCATGACTCTGGCTAAGGTAACCTCAGCTAAAAAGCAGGAAATCCAGTTTTCACTTCAGGTCACCCTGGCAGGAGTCTAGGGCTTGCTTTTTGCTTTGTGTGGTTGGCTCAGGGGAAAGCATTGGTTGGAGACACAGGAATAAATCCTTGACCTGTGGATGCTGGTCATGGCCCTCAGGTAATGAACCAAGCATATACTCTTTTGCTACCTCCAACACCTGTGTACGTAGCAGGTGCACAATGCTATTTTTGAGAGTTTATACTCCACCAAGGGGGTGGTTTCTAGAAACAGAGACCAATCTTTTTGAGCAAAGGATGAAAATAGGAGCCTTGAAATCCAGTGGAAGAAGTGAGATAATTTACTCAATTTGCTTTCCTGGAAACAAAGACTTTCTTTCAAGAATTTGTAGTAAAATTAACTGAGGCACTCACACTCAGCTCCATAATATGCCTAAGTACCTTTTTGTTCGACAACAGCTTTCTCTTTATGGGGAATTTACCAGCTTTTTAATCTCATTTATTTGATTAACTTTAGAATCAGCAACTGCAAATTATGCTGGGTTCTAACAAAGTGTTGCATTTGCCAACTTGTTAAGGAAGAGAGATTTTTTAAGGGCCTCAACTAAACAAGTCTCAAACCTTAAGTACCAGGCCACGCTTTGAAGGTTTTGCTTCTTTAGGAAAAAATACAGACAGACCTATAGGAAAAATAAAACCCATTGCAATCAGGAGCCATCATTGCTTCAAGGCAGTTTTATGGAGGGAAATGCATTATTATAAGCTATATATTTTGGTGTTTTAAATCTTCTTTCCTCCTTTAACACTTGTTTAAAAGAAACACAAAGTTGATTTTTCTTTGTGAATAATGAATGACTTAACAAATGTGAGCCATGTGTTTGCCAACCCAACTATCAACAGAGGAGTAGTATCAGCACAGAGAAGTACCCCCAAAATCTCTGAAAGGCCCCAAAGCTTTGTGACCAGTTTTTGAGTGCAACCCTTCACCCATTCCATCCCCACCATGTCCAGATGCTCTGATGAGTGGTTAAGTTCTATGATCTGTGAAACCACAAAGATTCAGTATGCATGATGCACTTGTGAAGGATTTCAGGACGCAGACTATTATTCTGCCAGGACTGCCATAACAAATACCACGGATGTAGGGGGTTAAACAACAGAAGCATCTTCTCACACTTCTGAAGGCTGGAATCTCTCCTTAGCCCACAGAAGGCCTTCCTTCCTGTGTCCTCCCATGGTAGCTAGACTGTACACACATTCCTGCTCTCCGTCAGCATGTCTGGAGTTTCTCTCTCTCTCCTTTTTTTTTTTTTTTTACAAAGATGGTATTCAGATTGGTTTAGGACCCATTCTAACACTCCATTTTAACATAATCACTTCTTCTAAGATATCATCTCCATAAATAGTTGCCTTCTGAAGTATCGCAGGTTGGGATTTCAATGTATGAATGTACACCAGGTGGTATTTAGGTGTAGGAGACAGCAGGGTGGGCAGGAAATGTCAGAAGGATCCAGAGTTGCACAGAGAGGATGGGGATTGAAGTTCTGCTTGTCATGGTCCCGAGCCTCTGAGCAGGAGCCAGACTCTCTGAGCTTAAACCTTTCTCTAGGCTGGCATTGTGAGGTAGAGAAATAAGCTGCCATTTGTGATGTTGGAACCCCATATCAGAGTGCCAGTTAAGTCTCCTGCTGTTTTAGTTCTGGTTTAGCTGTCTGCTCATGCAACTGGAAAAGTAGCAGGAGATGGCCCAAGAATTTGGGTCCTTGCCACCCACATAGGAGACTTAGAACTCTTAGCTTTTGGCTTTGGTCTGGTTCAGCCCCAAGCTTTAAGAATATAAAAGGATATTTAAAGATACATATAAGGAATAAACCAATGAATGGAAATTTATTTTCAAATAAAGTTTTGAGAGTTTTACTTTTCAAATAAATAAGACTTCATTTACTGGGATGAAAGCAACTTCAGAGAGTTGTCAGGTTAAAACTCTAAGTTTTGGAGTGAGCATTTGACACAACAGCTAAAACATTGCGTGGATGCCTGTGTCAGACGGCCTAGGTTTGAGTCCCAGCTCTGGTGCTCTGACATTTCAGTTTCCTGCGTACCTCTGGGAGGCAGAGGTGATAGGTCCAAGTATTTAAGCCCCTACCATTGATGCGGAAACCGTAGATTGAGTTCCAAGCTCTTGGTTTCTGTTTGGTGCAACCCCATCTATTGTACGCATGGGGAGCAATACTGTTGGTTTCTGAATGTTGCATCACTCAGAATTAGATGAAAATTGTTCAGCACAACCAACAAAAATAAGAAATCAACATGTGCTCAGGGGTGAAATGTGAAGTGAGGAAAGCACTGGTGGAAAACTTGGTATGAAACTCCTCCATTGGGTGGGTTAACTCCTGGAGACTGCCTGCAAGAATTTGGAAGGGTATACACATAGAACACTGAGAATTAGTCCTAGACAGGAAGCAACATTGAACAATCTGGTTTTGGAATCAGTGAAGCAGGGGCATATTCCTCTAGTGATATGAGTGATGCGTTTAATGCAGTACACAGGAATTCAATGTTACTGATACAGTTATACCCTTTCCAACTTCCTTAGTCCTTCAGATTAGCAAGAAGCATGTATTGGTTTGGTTAGACTGTGAGCACTCTACTGTTGGTTAAGGAGACTTTTTTTTTTTTTTTTTTAGCAAGGTATAGATGGGGCTGCAGAGTTATTGGGCCAGGAGGTAGGTTTCTAGAAAAACGTTATTATTTATGTTGCGTTCCACTTATATTTATACAAAAGCTTTTAAGTAAATTTAACATTTACAATGAAGTAAATTCAAAACACAAGATAACAATATCAGCAGGCTATGATTATGGCAAGCAGTTCACATATTGGCCCTGCAATATGTGAAGTTTAGGACTTACGACACTCAGTGTCACTCCTAAGGACATAGAAGCTCAGAGAAAGACATTCTTTTCCAAATGACATAGCTATTGTTTAGGGCTAAACTCCATTCTTGTTTGTCCAACCTCGTCTAATTCTGCATCTGTGTTAACCCAAAGGTAATTGGATAATAAAATAACCAACAGACTTTGTCTTTATGGAGTGTCAGGAAGGCTTTAATTTGTTCAAAAGGCTAGTGTGTGTTACAGAAGAGGGTGAATGTGTTGGAGGGGTGAAGGCGTCACAGAAACGCGGACAATTCCCTGGCGGGCATCCAGAAAAATCTCAATAGGGAACCCTAAAGATTGCTGTAGCAGAAATTCCTCTTGGAACTGAGCGTAGTTGTCTTGAATCCCAGCTTCTCCAATCGTGGAGAAACCTCTGTGTAGCTCTCTGCTCTTCTGCGCTCCTCCACTCATCTGTATAAGTTTGTAACAATTTGTAAGAAAGAAAATATCTAACATGTATGCGACCGTTATCATCTGCCAAGCACTTCTGATGCACTGCTTCATTAACTCTCAAAATAACGCTCAGAGTCAGTTATCATTCCCTGTGATGGCAATGACATTTGGAGTTTCAACGCTTACGTCGCTTGCCTGCCTTCTACGCAGCTAAACAACGGGGTAGGAGTCAAACCGGGGCAGTCTCTCGGCTCAAACATTAACTGTCCACCGTGAGAATTTGGGTTAACGGCTATAAGCCACCCATTTCTGGGAGCCAAGGAGACGGGCAGGAACCGCTTCCAGTCACCAGCGGTGACAAGCAAAGCCGCCCATCTAGAACGTTCTTGGCCAGTCCCTTCCTAGGGGCTTACAACTCCCAGGATGCTCTGGGCAGCGAAGCTGGCCAATCAAAGTTCCAGGCAGAAACGCCAGCCAATAGGAAGCCCGTGCTTGCTTTTAACGGTTGCCAGCCTCGCGGTCGGGTGGTAACTTCTGTGACGGTTGCTTGGGTGGGTCCGTCGTCGTCGTCGTCGACAGGCGCTGTGGGTTTTTAAGTATCCTAATCAGGTTTGGGAGGATGAGGAGATAAAATGTTGAGGATTTTCCTGCTGAGGAGAAGTTGGGCGGGTTGGCCTGTCTCTGAGGGTCCGGGGTGACCCCAGGCTGAGGGTCCATGGCGCTGGGCTGGGGCGGCCTGGGCAGTTCCTCGGGCTAGCGTCACTGGGAATATGCTTTAAAATGGTTCTCTTCGGCTCGGGAGGGTGAGAGCTGCGGATAAATCCAGGCTGCTTTCGGCTTCTCTTCACCCTGGGCGGCTTTGGGGTTTCTTCACCTGCCATCCCGAAGGCCGTGGGACTCTTCCCCTTGAGCTAAAAAGGAGCGGTTGAGTAGGTAAACCAGACAGGGACTATTGTCAACAGACCGTGTCAGGCCGGGTTTACCCAGTGCTAATTGCAATGATTTTAATGCTGTTGGGGAAGGCATGGGGCTGTTTTAGGTTGCTCTTCGTCCCTGAGCAGGCTCTTGGGCAGGCTGGTGTGCTTGGGCTTGAGTGAAAGCGGTGGGGCCGATGGCTGCTTGGCTCAGTGAGCTCTGGCCGGGGGGTTTGTGCCTGGATACGTCAGTTCCTGCAGCCAGAGGACAGCTCTGAGACCCGAGTGCTGTCTCCCACCCCCACCCTGCTCTCGCTATTCCCCTCCCACTCAACTGCAGATCCACAGTTTGTGACTCTGAGTGATGACCTGACCCAGCACCTTGGGGAAGGTGGGGCTCACCCCTGACTTGTCAGCAATTGGGTGGGACCCATGGGACCCAGCTGTGTCCTCTGACCCCAGAAGTTGGGTAGTAGTGAACTCTGGATAAACAGATTGCCCTGGGTGCAGCGCTGACTTTCCTGGCCAACTCTCTGCCCATTTAGTTTTTATTTCATGCTTGGTTTGAAGAAATTTTGTTTTACAAGAATTAATTTTTAAATCTTATGATTTCTTCTGTGATTTATCTTTTTTTCTCAGACTTGAGAAAATCTGAGAAAAATCCAGTTTTTTTGTTATATATGAGGGCTTCCAAATGGGTGTGAAGTGTCTTTTAAATATTGATGCCTGGAAAATGAATTTCTTTTACAGTGGCTCGAAAGACAGTAAGAGAAGTAGGATCCGTTTCTTTGGTTCGGGAAAAGGCGAAGGCAAGCTTGACTGAAAGGTTAGTTTGTTTCTCATTATTTTGATCAACAGTCAGACCCATAATCACACAGCTGTTACATTGCTGGAACTGCGTGTGCTAATTATGGTTTATCCAAGTCATTTTGAGAAAGAGGTACAAAATTAGCTTCTAGTGAACCATCTCTTTCTATATTTCTGACACAATTGATTTAAAAAAATGTGTGTTCTGTATCTTCTACATAATTCAGTAATATGTTGATTTTATACATTTTAGTGAACCAAAACTGAAGTGTGTTTCTCTTAGCTCTTAATGCTAAGATGTCTGTTCCCCCATCCTAGGCAATGGATGATAATGAAATATCATTTATAATTTTACCAGGTACCTAAATAAACCATATGTGGGCCCTGTCATTGAAGAATAAAATTAGTGAAGTTACACCATGGCTATTACATTATAAGACAGTTTTAAACACCGAGTCTTCTTCTAAAAAGAGGAAACCTTCATTTTTGCTATATGGGCCTATCTTGTGGATGTGGTGTTACTAAGGAAGAAATCAAACCCTAGGAATTTCGGTTGTAGTGTTGGAAAACGTTTCACACTGTATATGCTTTGCTGTGTTATAACCCTTTGGAAAGACACTTCATAATTAAGTTTTGAAGTAAGATATTTTTAGGAGTATTAATTTGTTTTTTAAAAGTACAAATGAATATTTAGTTTACATATTTGTTCTTTAACATCAGATGTTTCATAACAATGTTGCTGACCATAAGCTGAGGGTGGAAGCCATAATTAAAAATATTAATACCATTTCTTTGGAGTTGAAGAGGATGAAAGGTAAGTGAGTATCACTATAAAAATATAATGTCATTGTTATAAAGTAGTAGAAGCAATTTGTACTTCTTTGGTGTAACAATTTTTCCCACTTATCAAGATTTCTCATTTAAGAAATATTTACAGTGCACTAAATATGATCTAAACCATAATGATATTTGAAGCAGACCTGAATTCTCTTCCCTGACACTAACAAACTTACAATGCTGTCTAACCTTTCCAGATTCTCTTTCCTTCCAGTTGTGTGACTATGTCACTCTTAAAAAGCCAATGCCATGACTCATGGATCCTTACTAAATCCTAATGTTCCTTCTAAATTACAAATTCTAAGTTTGGTTCTATGAGTTATGGGTTCTCTTTTTGAGTAGATTCATAGAGTAGGATTAAACATTATTTGTCATGATAAGTAGTCACTTAACCTCACATGTTCTGTCTTATCCAAGGAACATTACATTTCCATTGATTGAATATTTCAGAGGATCTCACTAGTTGGCTTATTTATTCCATTTTAGATACTCCTTATCAACTAAGAAGGATCCCCCTCTTCTCTCCTCTGTGTCCTATTTATTGCCATGAAAGTCAGGAACTAGATAGTTGTGCTTGGAACAATTCTTGGATATTTGAAGACTGCCTCTGAGTCAATTATGAGGCCTTACACTGCAAGAAACAAATAATATGATTCATAAAAGAAAGGATAACCAGAAGATTCAAAGTCAGGCAGCTTTAACTTCAGAGATTGAGAAACAGAAGGACTAGGCTGTTTGTATCTTTCTGCTCTGTGCTGTTCCTCATGGTCATTATCCCCAGAGGTAGTCATTTACAGAGTGTGTCTCGCATAGCGATATTTCCCCAGATCTCTCCAGTACATTTTCCTTTTCCTTTTATTGGTCAGATTTGCATCGCATGCACATGCCTATAGCAACCCTGGCCAAGGAGAATGGAAATCCCAAGACCAGTTCGGACCAGTCAGAACTTACTGCTGAAGTGGAGGAGAATTGCACCTCAGATGAAATACAATTATGCAACCAAGAAGAAAAGAGGAATGTTAGTTAGGTGCCAAATAGTGAGTGCTTGTTTTGCTTTTTCCATTTGTTTTCCCAGGGCAGCATTTCTCAAACTTCGAGCCATGAATCTGCTGTCTCGAGAGAGTGTGTGTGAGAGAAAAAGAGCCAAGTTATTATGCTCAAGTTTGGGAAGTGCTTTATGCTCTATATTTCTCTCGGAAAGTCAGAGCTCCTGTTAACCAAGGTTCTGAGGATTCAAAGAGATCTGATTAATCTTGCTTAATTCATCTTTTCTGTAAACCAAGCCTAACTCTGTAAGGAGGGCTCTTTCTCTAAAACATAGAGCTATAATCGTTCATTGATTGATTGTCCTCAGAACAGACAATCAATCAATGAACGATGAATTGGGATGAATTGTTTGACCTCCTGAGAATAGGCCCCTGCGTGCCTCTCCAGTCTTGTTCTTTTCTCCCTGCATGCTCTGTGTATCAGCCCCACTGGATTATTTGTATAGCCCCAATGTTGTCCTTTGTGTCTATGCCTGAACACATAATACCACCTTTTTGGAATTCCATTGCTGCACCTACCCTTACCAACACCAAGTTCACTGCTGCTTAGTTACTTGGGATAGTATGTTGGTAAACTGTTGGAGCTGACACAGTCCTCTTGCCCTGTTATGTCATCAATCACATTGTGCTGTGATTGCATGTTTGCTTACCCTGTTCAACTACAAACTCCTTAAGGAATTTTATACCACTTAGCACCATGTTTTGACAGAATATATACTTGGAAAATGTTTACTAAATGAATGGCTCTGGCTGCAATAATTCACTAAGAACAAAGGAGGGTCAGATTCTTGCCAAACTTGATTATTTAATCTGGTTTGGAGAGTATTCATTCATAAAGTAAATTAGAAATAATAAATCTGATAAGCACATTCCTGAAAGGCAATCCCGGCAGTTAGGGTACGAGGAACATGTAACTAGGCTAGGAAGGCAAGCATATGGTAAACATAGAAGAATTAAATGTGCATTCTGTTTACTCTTACTTTCTCCCTCCAATAATGTCAATAGCTAAGACAGCCTTTACTATAATCCAGACACCCTTCTAAGAGCCCTACGTAAATGGAGTTACTAGTCACAACAACTCTGGGAGGTATGAGCTGTTATCATTTACAGATGTGAAAATTACTCAAGGTCAAGCATGTCTAGTGTTTGGTAGATCTGAGGTTTACCTCAAAAATCCATGAGGTAAAAAGATTTCAATACAAGAGAATAGAAAGCAGAAACACAGGTCTGAAGCCTAAAGTCTAAAAATCTGAACTCTAAACTGGTTGAGTAAATCCATAAATAGCCCCAAAGATTCAGTGCACACTGGAATCATTTGAATGTGAAGGCTCTTAGTAGGGTTAGTTAACAGTGGAAGAAATCCCTGAGGTCTGTCCATAACTGGGCAACTGTCGTCTGTCCCCTCTTGTCACAGACGTTTCAAAGCTGAATCAAGCTTATCTGGCTTAGGGTAGAGCCTCTACCCTAGCCAAGAGCAAATACTAAAAACCTGGGGTATTAGAAGTTTAGATACTGGGCCCAGTGCTATGGCTCAGTGGCTAATCTGTCACCTTCCAAGCACTGGGATCTCGTAGGGGTGTGGATCCTGGAACTCTTCCATCTCAGCTCCCTGCTTGTGGCCCTGGAAAGCAGTGGAGGACAGCCCAAAGCTTTGGACTGCTGCACATGTGTGGGAGACTCGGAAGAAATTCCTGCTTCCTGGCTTTGGGTCAGCTCCACTCTGGCCATTGAGACAACTTGGAAAGTGAACCAGTAGATGGGAAATCTTTCTGTCTCCTCTCTGTAAATCTGACTTTCCAATAAAAACAAATGTTTAGATAATGAATTACAAAACACCCATCCCAGTTTTTTTTTTTCTTATGACTGTCAAAGCACAAGAAGGTCATATTCCTACTTTCAAAGATTTTCCTTTCAGAACAGTGAAAGCCAGATATATGTCTTCTAAGATTTTTCTTTCAGGAATACAACCAGCCCAAGAGAAGAGACCTAGAGATCTTCATAGTGGAGGTTTCCATAGCAAAATGACCCATGAGATCACCCCATATTATAGAATGCATGGATATGGAGCTTTCAGTTTTCTGAAGGCTATGATCTTAAATGTGAGCAATCACAACACAGCAGATATTTAAGGAGTATATCTAATTAAAAGAGGAAACCAACATATAGGAAAAATGAAAATGTCAAGAAAAGATCACTAATATTCACAAGAAAGTAAGCAAAGATATGTAAACATAAATAACGAATATAAACCTGTAGAGATGAGAAAGGAGCTCTTGAAAAATCAGAGTGACAGTAGAAATGAAAAACTCCCCTACAGGAAGGTTTAAAGATAAAAAAGAAAAAATTTCCTGAGTATAGAACAAACCAATGGAGATGGGAAATTTAGAAAGGTGGGGAATGGAAGATTGTTTACAAGATCAGTCTCAGAACTGAAAAAGACCTAGCCCAACTAAAAGAAAATAGATCCATACCAAGGAACAGTGTTGTGAAATTTCAGAATACTAGGAAAACAAAAAAGATCTGTAAAGCAACTTAAGAGAAAAATCAGGATTAAGAATTAAAGTCATGTGAAAATTCTCAGTAGCAACACTGGAAGCTAAAAGATAATGCAGCAATCCTATTAGAAATTTTCATCATTTTTAAAAAGTTAAATTAGGAATAGCAGTAGTAGCTGTGTATGATATGTGATATATTCTGTCTTGTTTTGTGCAGAACTCTCCCAGTTACTGCTTTGTGACCTCACTCTACAGTTTAATCATCCTTGGAAGGCAGAGGACTCACAGGAAACCGAAAGAAATAATACCCTCTTTGAAGAATCTAAAATGACAAGTGTATCCCCTTCTCCTAACAGTTTTTCCATGTGATTTCTTATTAAGTTCTATTTTTACTGTTGAATTAAGTATCTGGGAGGGCTGAGTTTACTAATCTAATTAAAAACAGAATAAAAATAATGTGAAATTACAAATAAGCGTTTTGTATTCTTCAAGCCTGTTTTATTTTTAACTTAAAAAAAAAATGCATTGAAAGGGCTGCAGTGAGGGAGGGAGAGAGAGAGCACTCCCATGTGCTGTTTTACTCCCCCAATCCCTACAGTGCCTGACTGGTCCAATCTAGAGCCGGAAACCCCAAATCTCATCTGTGTTCTCTCACGTGAGTGGCAGGAGCCCATGGATTTGAACCTTGTTTTTCCCCAAACTCTGCTTGAACAGAAGCTGGAGTTAGGAACTGAAGTTGGAAATTGAGCCTGAGTACTCCAGGGTGACATGTGAGCATCTCAACTGGCTGCTTACCCTCTAACTTGCGTATCTGCCCTTCTGTTAACATTCCAAAGAGTGGCTAACATCTCATTGGTGGCACAAGTATGCCATGGGATAGTCTTAGGGCAGTGCTTGTCCTTTACCTTACTCTTGAATCTGGCTCAGGTTGAGAGTTACTAAAGTTTAAATGGAAAGTATGTGTTTAGGCTAGAATTGGTAGTAAGTGCCAGACACAGGTGCAAGTGGATGAAGTATCAGGTCAAGTGACTTGCAAGTCTTAAGGTTGGCATAGGTTGCAGGGGCTCTTAGTTGTATTTTTGTGTTTTGGCGTCTTTCCTGTAACCAATTGGCTTTCTTGATTTGAGAGAAAAAAGTAGAAGCATGGCAATGAGTTACTCCAGGTGTGCAGAATTTCTTTGAGGGGATCCCAGAAAATTATTCTCAGTCCAAGACTCCATAGTTACAGGTGCTTGAAGAAAGATAAACTGGCAACCATGAAGACATCAGATTCCTGTCATTTCAGTCACAATGGTGGAAAGTGTAACACCTTTCTCATAAATTGAAGGAAAGACGTGAATGGCTTTGAGGAATCAAGTGGTTTGGGAAGGATGAGGAGAGGTGGCTTTATGGCAAGTCTTGTCAGGGATTAAAAAAAGCACTGCAGTAATGAGAGTGCCTGAAAAAATAGAGGAAGTAAAAGATGGAATTAAAAATGCAATGAATGCATAAGTTGGGGGCTGGTGTGGTGGCTCAACAGGCTAATCCTTGCAGTGTTGGCACCAAAGTGGGTGCTGATTTTAGCCCTAGGTGATTCACTTCCAGTCTAGCTCCTTGCTTATCGACTGGGAAAGCAGCAGAGGTTGTGGCTCAAGTTCTTGGGACCCTACAATCCACAAGGGAGACCTGGAAGGAATTCCTGCTTCCTGGCTGCTGGCTTCTGGCTTTGGATGGGCTCAGCTTTACTCATTTGGGAGTGAACCAGTGAACAAAAGGACACACACTCTCTCTCTCCCTTCTCTGTATAAGTCTGCCTTTTAAATAAGAAAAAAAAAATTAAAGAGATGTTTAGCATAAATTATTTGAAGCTCATGCCTACATTTTTTTTGTATCACATCTCTTCCTTGCACTTATTGAAGACTGCTCTAATGGGGAAATCTAACCATTTTTCGGCGTAAGCACTTACCCCTGTGAAGCTTTCAGCTATCCCTGGACAGCTGGGAGGGACTGCAGCATGGATACAGCTATGGGGAGATGATGAAGTGTCAGCTTACACCCAGGTGTATGTGATGCGGGTGCCTCCTGCTTACATTCAAAATGCTTTCTGTTGGCATTTCTAGTTTACATCTGCTTTCATCAGAAACATAATAGTATGGATAACACAAGCTGCTTTAGGAATCCAAAAGCAAAGCAAAAGACCACTTTAATCTCAGGAAGTTGTCCTAACAATATTTTTATCTTTATACACAAAAAGCATAATCCTCTACCCAGCCAAAAAAATTAAGAAAACAATAAAATATTTTTGAAGATTCTTAAGTTATTACCACTGAGAAAAGAAATTTGGGCAATTTTTAGATTACTTATGTAAAACTGATGATTGTCTCTGAACATTTGGCTATTCAATCAGTTTTACAGATTACTAAAACTATGTTTCAGCATGTTTAGACTTGCCCCGAATTATTTCTCTAATGGTGTAAACAAATGTACTTTTGAAATGACTAATCAGAAATTTTTAAATGAATTATTACAACAGACTACTAGGCCACAAGCATGAACATGATTACTCATCAACTTTACAATGAAGAATAAATAAATTATGAGCTATTTAACAGTCTTTGTTTCAAACTTTTTTTTTTTTTTTAAGTAATGGGCAAAATCCTGTGTTCCTGTTGAGAGCGCGAGTCCGTTCTAAGTGTCCATTCACCAAGGTCAGTGCACCTCCCTGGGTTGGTAGGAGGAAGGTCCATTTGCTTGGCTAACTTGCTATGGATAGCCTGCAGCATATGTTAATGTGCACTGGTATCTGGAACCTCGATTTTTCCCATCAATGAGCAGAAGTGGCATTTTCTTGAAATAGTCGATAATATCTGACACAGACAAAAAGTCCTGCAGAAGTCAAAACAAGGAGATAAGTCAACAGTGGAACGCACAGCATGAATTCTAACCTCAGCTGATCTGCATAATGTATCCCATCTCTTCCAGTTAGGGGACTGTGGGAGAAAAGGTCAAAACTGAGAAATAATTGAGAGATTTCTTCTATAGAATTTTGAAAAATATCCCTCACCAACAAGCAAACAATTGTGGATAAAAGACAAATGTATAATTTTAGCTTCGCATAGGTCATTTATCCTGAACACACTAATGTTGATGTACTTGCCGTAGGATTCTTCTATTTGTTTTTGGTTTTGGTTTCTGACTCCCAACTTCCCCCCTAATCAGTGGCAGCAATAGGGTCCTTAAGGAATCAAGAAGTCACACATGGTTCAGGGCGATTAGAGGTGAAGTCTAAAGCCTGGATTAGTCTGGAACATGGGACATGGCAGTGACTGGACCCCATATTTAGAAGGATGAGGGTGTTTTCTTCAGTCTGGCTAGCACGGATAAGGCTATTTCAGCTGACGGATGCAGAAATCGAGTAGGCTGCTTCTCCTTGTGGGAATGTTTGATGCAGTTGGTTCTTCTCGAACTTTGAATTTAAAAAGCATGTTTGCAACACTGGGCTTAGTTGCTTATTTTCTTTGTGAAAGTTTACTCCTGAGGGTTTCTTTCACGTTAGTTCTAATTACCACTGAAAAAAATGCTGGCCAGAGAGAAAATTTTTTGGCCAGTTAACTACGTTCACAGAGCCCAGCCTCCATGATTAGTAAGATATGGCCCAAGCATCTAAATAATCACTGTGTGATCATCCTGAGGTGTCCCCTTTCCCAGCTGGCTCTAATTGATAATCAGCCTCACAGTCTGTGCTGTACATCAAAATAATGTTACTGAAGTGAATAACAGAAAAGACCTCCATTGATATTATCTAGAGGTGTTTAAAAAAATCAAATGATAACTTGATTTTTTTTCTGAGAAAGCCTTCTATGGAAGAATTAACCACAGGTTTTGTTTTCTTTCAAGCTAAAAAAGGGCTTTCCTAATATGATCTGTCTCTAAAACTGCGCTACATGCAGGATTCCAAAAAAGGTGGCAGGAAGGCATCCCATGAGTGTGCAGAGGAACCTAAAACCCAACATGGGAGACATTTTCAAACCTGAAGTCCTTACCTCTTTCCCTCGGAGTCCAGTTCCCAGCAAGTACACTTGACTTTCCTCCTGATAACGGATCTGAATGTTGTAAACTTTGTCTTTGTACAATACCATGAGGACATACGGGTTGGTGATTGTTTTTTTAGAGCTGTCTCTAACCAGAAAAGTGCCATCCTAAAAGGGTAAATTCTTGTTATTATGGGAGCAGTACAAGTCAATACTCCTCTTGTCTGTCAAGCCTCTAGGGGACTGCAAAAACTGTCAGTTGATGAGTCAACTAACACTCGGTTCCCCAAACAGCCACTGCGCCCGTTGGCATGGATGTTTATATTTGTCAAGAAAGAGGCAGCCAGATTTTTCTCAGAGGAATTTCCAGCTCAACCTCTTCAAAGTCGCTCCCTAACCTTCTCCCACTCCCTGCCCCAGTAATAAAACAAATAACAGGTCATTCGCTAGATAAAGGGCCAAGAGAAATAGGATTTTATTGGATAACACAAGATAGATCTTTCCCCACCTGTGAGTTAGCTCTTTTTTTCTACAATTGAAGTCAGAAAACACCAAAATTCCTATGAAATTCTCCTGTTTTTAATTCTTGCATGTGCCTCTCATACCTGAGCAAAAATGAATGTGGACCTTCTGCACTGTTGCTAATCTTTTTCCTGATATTTAGTAGAGTTGTGATTTCCTTGTGTTTTAAAGTTTCATTCTATAAATGATTACTACCTGATGTTAATACCATAAAGAAAGACCTAATATTAAAACAGTCCCTAGGGACTCATTTAAACCACTTCCTCCTCTGTGAACTGAATCATGATAACTTTAAATAGCCATCAATCCACAACATTTGTCTTTTTTTTTTTATTCCAAGTTAATTGAGCCAGTTGAAACATCTCTGTTCAACAAGCATATCTCTGGACCAGTGATTCACAGCCTCATTCTGCAATGTGGATTTAGAATTGTCTGGGGCATTTGGAAGACTTGCAGAGCCCACATATAGCACCCTCAATTCATTAAAACAAGATGTTTTCACTTGAGATCTAGGACTCGGGATTTTTTTTTAAAAACTCAGGTGATTTAAATGTGCAGCTAAGGTTGAGAAACACTGCTCTAAAATTAACTTTTTTGGAGAAATCATTAAATAGAGAAACTCCCATCCCCTGGTTCCTTCCCCTATGCCAAGAATGGCTGGTGCCAGGCCAGGCCCAAGCCAGGAGCGGGGAACTCCATCCAGGTCTTCCACGTGATGGTTACAGCCCATCCACCTGAGCCATCATCACTGCTTCCCAGGGTCTGCATTAGCAGGAGACTGCGATCAGTGGTTACAGTCAAAAATCAAACTTAGCTACTCCATCCAGTGTGGGTTGTGGGTGTCTTAACTGCCAGGCCAAACACCACTCCTGTTGTAGAATTTAGATGCGAAAAGTGAAGGATGTTTGCTTTTCCCACCTGATAGATCTAAGCACAAG